TCGAGTTTGAAGCTAATGCAATTGTGCTAATTAAATTATGCAAAAAAATATTTGACTCGTCCACAATGGAAATGACAGCAGCCATAATTTATTCATAAGGCAACGGACAGACACGGATCGAGTAAACTGCTGTCCGGTAAGCATATGCCAGCTGTATTTGCAGTATGTTTCTCTTCATAACTGCTATCAGAGTGATGACACAATCATTTTTTTGCACTGTTGTTCAAAAGTTTAGGGGCTCGCCAAGCATGCATTTATTTGAGTCAGTAAAAAGTGTAATAGGGTGAAATATTGTTACAATTCAAAGTATGTTTACTATTTTTAACATATTTTAAAATGTATTCCTGTGATTCAAAGCTGCATGTAGGGCTGTCAAACGATTAATCACGATTAATCGCATCCAAAATAAAAGTTTGTGTATACATAATATATGTGGGTGCACTGTTTATAATTATTTTGTGTGTATATATATATATATATATATATATATGTATATACACACACACACAATACATATTTAAAAAGAAATATTGTTTATATATAAAATATTTATATTTATATATAATATAAAATGTATATAAATCTATACAGTATGTACATGAAAATATGTCTTAAATATATACAAGTGTGTGTATTTATTTATATATATATATATATATATATATATATATATATATATATATAAAATAATTATACACAGTGCACCCAAATATATTATGTAAACACAAACTTTTATTTTGGATGCGATTAATCGTTTGACAGCCCTAGTTGCATGATCTTACAGAAATCATTCTAAAATGCTGATTTGCTGGTCAAGAAAAATTTCTGATTATCATCACTGTTGATATTTTTGTGGAAACTATAATACATTTTTTTTTTTTCAAAAAGAACAGCATTTATTTGAAATAGAAATATTTTGTAACATAAATGACTTTACTGACACTTTTGATGAATTGAATGTGTCCTTTCTGAATAAATTATTAATTTCTTTAAAGTAACTTATGAAAGATTGTGTATTTTAGCCACCGTGGTCGACTAGTAATTTTTTATTCTTTAAGCGATTTCAAGTTCGCCACCACTACCACCACACACATTTTGCAAACTCTTTTGCCCTGTCGCGTCTCTATTTTTTTGAGTGTTCCTCCAGCTTTGTGTTTTTAAGTCAAAGTGTCAAGTTATAAATAACCCAGCTTTTAAAAGTCTCAACATGAATTCTGTTCCATCATGTTGCGCAGAGTCTAGCTATTTTTTAACCGTGTTTCTTTATCCCATAAAAAACACGTCTGATCAGGGTCAGGTGAACCCAAAAGCCTAAATTATAGTTTTTTATTCCAGCAACCCAATGAAAATACGCAGTTTTGCACATCCCCCATATGTTTAAGATTACAATGAAACCCCATAACGCACATTAGCTTATGCACATTGAGATGTGTACCATAACCAGACAGAAGTTCATAAATAAATCATATGAAAAGCTTGGCGTCTGTCACTTCAGTAATGGTCTGCCTGACTCACTCAGGTTCTGTCGTCTCTGGGGCACAGCAGCCGACGCAAAAACTCGTCCCAAATTACAGCTTCATTTAAAGAATATCCTAATGAGCCATTGCCTCCATTGCAGTAATTGTACACATCAAGATTTTAATTAGTTGAATTAGATGTGCTGTTTCTCGGCTGGAAAAAAAGATTGTGTTTCTCTCAAGATGCACTTTGCTACCCGTGAGCCAAATGCTAATTCAGTGGCATGAATTGCAGGAGGATGGTAATGGTCTTGGATTGGGTGCTTACTTCAATAGCATAAATTTGAAAACTAATGTACACGTGTATGATGATTTTTTTGTGTTTTAGGATTAGATCATCTCTGTTCATCTCTGTTCATCAACACTAGTGTAAGAAATCTGATGGACAAAAAGCAGATCAAAACCAATTTGGTCCACTATCTCATACGCCTTATTCACGGCAGCGCCATCTTTGATTATTAATGAGAATGAAAGCGAGGCTGTGAGGGATAGACTTGCATCTCTTCAATGGGCTGTACTGTTATTTAATGTGTTTTTGGATTGTTCTCCTCATGAAACACTGGAAAAATATATTTCAAAGAAATGTCAGTTGACAAAAAACTCCCGACAATGTAAGCTGTGAAAAATTTTAAGTAATCTAGCTACTTTATTCAGCTTTTTACAGCAGATGCCATTGGAAACACGGTAAGTCTATCCCTCACAGCCTCACTTTCATACCTGTCATGGCGCTGCTCTTAATAAGGTCTATTAGCTCAACCAAGATGGTCTGGCATGTTGACCTTGGTCTAAACAGCTAGCCAATTAACCATTTAAATTGTTTAAACCATTAGCATCTTGGACCAGCTAATGACCTAATATATACACACAGAGGAGCCAAAACATTATGAGCTGCATAATGTACTGTTTATCCACTGACCCACCGAGGCATGGACTCTACAAGAACCCTGAAGGTGTCCTGTGGTTTCTGGTACTAAGTTGTTGGCAGTAGATCCTTCAAATCCTGTAGGTTGCGAAGTGGAGACGCCGTGAATCGAACTTGTTGGTCCAGCACATCCTAGAGATGCTCAATTGTATTGAGATCTGGGGAGTTTGGAGGCCAGATCAACACCTTAAACTCTTTATCATGTTCCTCAATCCATTCCTGATCAATGTGTGCAGTGTGGCAGGGTGCTTTAATAGATAGAGCCACTTCCACCAGGGAACACCATTGTCATGAAGGGGTGTACCTGATCTGCAACAATATTTAGGTACGTGGAATTTACGTCCACATGAAACCTCAGGGTTTACCAGCAGAACATTCAGCAGAACGTCGTCCCACAATGCATCCTGGTGCCATCCTTTCCCCATGTAAATGGCATTAGATCAGGGAACCTTTTCCCACTGCTCCAAGGTCCAGTTCTGATGCTCAGGTGACCATGGTCAGCGGTCATCATAGGCACTCTGATTGGTCTGCAGCTACTCAGCCACATACACAGCAGAGATGCATTGTGAGTTGTGACACATTCCTCCGATAACTTCACTAAAAGTTTGACCTGCACCACAGTAGCCCTTCTATTGGCTGGGATAGACGAGATAGCCTTCGTTGCCCTTGTGCGTCCAACAACCTGTCGCCGGTTTGTGTTTTTCCTTCTCAAACCACTGTTGGTAAATTCTCACCAATGCTGAACAGAAGCAACACACAAACCTTGCCGTTTCAGAGATACTCTGGCCCAATAACAATTTGGCCCTTGTCAAAGTTGCTCAGATCTTTATTCCTGTCCATTTCTCCTGATCCAACACGTTGATTACAAGAACTGATCATTTGTTGTTTAATCCTCTCATACCTTAAAGGAGTAGTTCACTTTTAAAAACTTTTTTGCTGATAATTTACTCACCCCCATGCAGTGGTGGAATGTAACGAAGTACAAATACTTCGTTACTTTACTTAAGTACATTTTTCACGTATCTTTACTTTACTTAAGTACAATAAATAGTGCCTACTTTTTACTTTTACTTCGTTACATTTTGCAGCAATTATTATACTTTCTACTCCACTACATTTCTACAACTTCTGTTACATTTTCGTTACATTTTCTGATCAGTTTTTCCCCTGCCAAAACGTAATCTGACCGTCCGTTCGTTGCACATTTGTCTCACCAGTGACGTTTGGTTGCCATAGATACAGTATATCAACCCGGTCACTAAATGCGTCTCACACGCAGTGTGTTTATCATGCAACTCATACGCGAAAATTAGTTTTTACGTGAAACACACCGTGTGTAATATATGTTTGGTTTGGTTAGGATTATGGCAAGCCAAGAGGTTCAGAATTACACCATAAATGATACTGTAAAGTTATTAACATATAGTAAGGATAAGCATGATATTGCCTAATTGCAAGCTTGTTTCAGAAATGGTGACATTTTTTTCCATCATTATTGAACATCATTATAGGAGTAGGCTATTAGGTTGAATGAGTTAGAATTAAATGTTTTATTAATCATTAGAAAATAGACATTAAGATAATAAATTGTTATGCAAGTACTTTTACTTTTAATACTTAAAGTACATTTAAAATAAAGTACTTTTTACTTTTTACTTAAGTATGGTTGTCATTGTGTTACTTTTACTTTTACTAAAGTAAATATTTATCTGGGTATTTGTACTTTTACTTAAGTACTGAGATTCAGTACTTCCTCCACCACTGCCCCCATGTCATCCAAGATGTCCATGTCTTTCTTTCTTCAGTCGAAAAGATATTAAGGTTTTTGATGAAAACATTTCAAAGATGCACTTTATTGGTAACCAAATAGTTCAAGGTTCAAAAGACAGTTTCAGTGCAAACTGTTCAAAGGGCTTTGAATGATTCCAGACGATGAATAAGGGTCTTATCTTATCTTACTTACTTTTTTCCGAGTCAATTCGTTCATTCCGTTCGTTGAATGAACCAAATGACACAAAAAAATGTGTTCGTTTTGATAAACGAGTTCGAACAAGGTGACCATTTGAGCTTATAAAACTTAAACTTTGTTATTTTTTTTTTTTTTTTTACATGAGCGATCGTTTCACTTGATAAGGCCCTTATTCATCGCCTGGAATCGTTCAAAGTCCTTTGAACAGTTTGCAGTTTGTACTGAAACTGTCCTTTGGATTTTGAACCATTTGGTTACCAGTAAAGTGCATTATATAGAGAAAAATTCATATAATTTCCTAATTTCTTTTGGACTAAGGAAAGAAAGACATGGATATCTTGGATGACATGGGGGTGAGTAAATTATCAGCAAAAGTTTTTTTTTTAAGTGAACTACTTCTTTAATATGTGGCCTTGTTAGGTGATGATCACAACGACATTAACTTTACCTGTGACTGGTTTCCATCCATAACCTTTTTTTTATTGAAGAACATACATGTCTGGAATCACAAAATGAATTGTGGTTCATTCATTTGGCTTGATTTTTCATCTGGGAATTGATGTGTTTTTCTTTTCCATGTTTGTCCCCACAGTGATGCCAACCTCACAGATGTGCTGTGCGACTCAGACTCGGAGTTGGGCAGCGTGGACACACTGGAGAGGGGCAGCACAGATACTCTCGCTAATGGCTGCCGCGTCGACACAGATGCTGCCAAACGGCTGGCCAAGCGACTGTTCTATCTGGAGGGCTTCAAGCGCTGTGACGTTGCACGACACCTGGGCAAGAAGTGAGTGTTTGTGTATGAATGAGAGTATTGTTTAGGAAAGGGAGTAGAATGAAACGGATACCCACAATCCCTCTTTCTGTTTCTCCTGCAGTAATGAATTCAGCCAGTTGGTGGCATCAGAGTACTTGAGCTTCTTTGACTTCACTGGGTTGTCATTAGACAGAGCGCTGAGGTGAGAACATTTTAATCGTGAAATACAACCAAGATTGTCTGTGACTTAAAGGGATAGTTCACTTTTTAATTACATTTTTATATGTTTTAGCTTACCTCTAGGGCATCCAAGATGTAGGTGTCTTTGTTTCCACAGTATTTTCAATTTTGACATTTTTAAGTCAAACCGTTATTGCCAATCAGTCATACACTGGAGGCTAAGGGGGTCCACCAAAAAGCATGCACAGAGAAGTCAAAATTAAACATGATTTAATGACTCGTAAATGTAAGTACACATTGATGGCCTAAGACACGAAACGAGCGGTTTTTGTGAGAAAACGAACAGTATTTATATCGTTTTTACCTTGTGTAATCCAAGTGATCTGAATCAGTTGTGCAATGTCCAACTGAACCGAACTGAATCAGTTAAATGCTACGCCGGAAGTGATCGCTTGCGTGTGACGTCACTCAATATTTACACGGAGATTTCGGAAGTTTTGCCTTTTATAAACATATTTAGATATACCGAAATCGTCTTCCATTACGGTTTCCCGTATATCTAAATATGTTTAGTGAAAGGTAAAACTTCCGAAATCTCTGTATAAACAAAGAGTGACGTAGGCGAGCAAGCGATCACTTCCGGCGCATGCGCAGACCGAAGCGCCCGTGCCGTCAGATCATTTTGTCACGGCTATGATTACAAGAGGTAAAACGATATAAATACTGTTCATTTTCTCACACAAACCGCTCGTTTCGTGTCTTAGGCCATCAATGTGTACTTACATTTACGAGTCATTAATTCATGTTTAATTTGGACTTCTCTGTGCATGCTTTTTGGTGGACCCCCTTAGCCTCCAGTGTATGACTGATAGACAACAACGGTTTGACTGAAAAATGTCAAAATTGAAAATACTGTGGAAACAAAGACACCTACATCTTGGATCCCCTTGAGGTAAGCGAAAACATATCAAAAATTAATTTCAAAGTGAACTATCCCTTTAAATCAAAATGCCAAATCTAGCAACACAATACGCACAGCCAGACTGAACATATTTGAGGTTTAATATACAGCTATGTTGAGTGGGAATTTAGACCAATGAAGTTTCAGTGTGCGGGTCTATGCAAAAATATAAATCAAACTAGCAAAACATTGCTTTTCATGCTTTTACAATTCCTCAAAGTACAGAAAGTTTTCTAAAAACACTGCACACATGTAGTGGCTTCATAGTTTCCATGTATTAGTGCTATACAGGAGTTAGGCTGTAATAAGGGGAAGTATTCATCATGACTCAGTTCCACAAATACTCCTAAAACTGGAAAAATGAAGCACGCCATCACTGAAATACCTGCACTGCAAGAAAATGAAGAACCACCGTGTGGTTAAGAATATTTCAGTCCTGGACTAACAATAGTTCTGTGAATAGAACGATAATCATCGCAGACAGTCAGTGGAATGTTCAATCACACTCTATGCAAGTGCATAAACTAGTTTGGGTCACTTATAACATGTATTTGGCAACACATGTACCAACCATCGTCCCAAACCTGTAATGAGAATTTAGCTTTAAGGGCTTCCTGCGGGTTTCCACCAAAATAAAAGACGGATGGTTTAACATTTAAAAATGAAAAAATCAAGACAGCCATAAATTTTAATATGGCAATTTAATGCCTTTTGTATTTTATAGACTATTTCCACTAATGTTGCAGCCCTATCATAAACATAAATTCTTATAATGCAGTTATGCAAGCTCAATTTTATTGTTGCGTTCTTGAATGAGGAGATTTCACTTAGTACCACAATGCGAGTACACGTCGCATTACTATAGCAGACATTTGAGTGAGCAAATAAACACAGTAAATAATAGAAATTCAGGCTGTAGTATTTGGAAGCACTAGCATATCTACTTTATTTGTGCGGCACCATGATTCTTCTCGTTTACTCTGGTTGCAGGAACTTCTTGAAGGCGTTTCCTCTGATGGGAGAGACGCAGGAGAGAGAACGTGTGCTGGTGCACTTCTCCAAACGCTTTTGCCACTGTAATCCAGAAACTCTCACCTCAGAAGGCAAGTCTTTCAAATGTATTGTGGATTTCTGTAGATTTAGTTAGAATTTGATCATGGCTGTACTCAATAATATATTAAAAGGTTTTCAATGAACTTTTATGCTACTTTGTGGCACACGTGAGTGAAGTTACACATACAAAACTAAATATAGGCAGCTGCCTTCAAAGAATTTCATAAGTGACTAATTGGGAACATTCGTTTAATGTTAGCGCGCTGCTAAGCTAAGCTAAATGTGTCCCAAATGATGCACTATACACTACACTCCTAAAAATAAAGATTTCAAAAGGCCGTTTTCGCAACATTGTCGTATTAAAGAACCATTTTAATTTACCTAAAGAACCTTTCAGGGGTCAGTTCTTAAAAGAACCGTTTTTTTTCCTAGTGTGAAGAACATTTTTTAATGAGAAAATTTCTCTAACTTTAATAATTTAAAGAACCTTTTGTGCAGTGGAAAGTTTCCATGGATGTTAAAACTTCTGTGATATCTAGCTATAGCAGCTTGATTTTGGTTCACACCAAGAACGATAACTATAAAGGTATAGTTCTAAAAGTCATTGTAAATATAAAAGAATAGCAGAGTCCACACACCTAAACTATAACGATAACATCACAGAGAAACACACTCAGGCCCCGTCTACACGATGGGAAAATGCAGATATTTCTCTGCGTTTTGCCCTCTCATTTATGCGAAAACGCTGTTTTTATCACAGAAAACTATTATTTCTAAAAACTCCGGGCAAAGTGGAGATTTCTGAAAACGCCGGTTATGTGTTGCCGTGTAAACTGGGAGAAAGCAGAGAATGTCTAATTGAAGAGAATTGGCACTGGCTGGTTACTTCCGGGTTCTGGACTGGCTGCAGTCTCTGTCCATGCGGGGGCGCTCGCGTTCGAGTGCAGAATGAATGGGAGTCAATGGGGTTTCATCCCCATAAATCCACTTTTCTCAGGATCTAATTTTTTGTCAAGTAATTTGAAAGTTGCATTCAAAAGGGAGGGCTAAGATAATATACTCAGCTGAAAATTGCATTTTTAAGTTCACTTATCTGTTCTAAAAATCCGTTCAAAAATGTGATGACATCACACAATAGCAGAATGCTAGCGCGATCCGGCCAACAACGGCCTAACCTGTAAGAAATCAAAAGGACACAAGTACTCGTTCATTCGACTTTTGGCCTATAATCTATATTGAACTTGCGTAATCAACAATAAAATATATGTTACTTTAACGATAAGCAGGTGAAAGAGACACATTTAGCCGTTTAGCCCCATAGACTCCCATTCATTCTGCTCTCGCCCGCGATCACCTCCAGTGGAATTCTAATGGAACTGCAACCAAGGTGATTCACAACGGGGCTAATGGGAAGTGCCAAGGCTCTCCGTTAGACGGGCTCTGGAGAAAGGGCGTTTTAGGTTCTCTCTTGTCGATTCTGAGGATTCTGATTGGCTTGCATGGCTTTATCCTCAACCCCTAGACTGCCGCCAATAGCTTTGGCATAGTTATGATGGCGCTCGACGGCGTATTTATGCGGGTGTGTGAACGATGTTATTTTTGAAAGCGGAGAGGGGGAAAATATTCGTTTTGCTAAATACCCGGCTTTGTGTAAACGTGGCCTCATTGGAATCACTTTCAGAATATTTTTGTCCCAGCTGATCGACAGCCAATCAGAATCCATCCTGCTTTAAAGAGCGCAAACATTTAAAGTGGCAGACCAGAAAACTGCAGCACATGCTTGTAATAGACAGAATGATATCATCTGCTGGTGTGGACGCTTATCTCTATCGTTATCTTTGTAGTTTTCGTTCTTGGTGTGATCTGGCCTTTAAAGTTTGATATATTTAACACTTTTATTTTCTCATTTCTTTTTAATAGATGGTGCTCACACACTGACCTGTGCACTTATGCTTCTTAACACAGACCTGCATGGACACGTATGTATTCAGCAACACTCGCACATGCGGCTCTTCTCTGGGTTGTTGAATCCAAACATGTTTATTAGACTCATTTATCAACAAAATGTTGTGGTTAATCATGAATGCATACAGGAAATTTGATTTGTTTGTGGATTGTGCAGTAAAACGAGGGAAGCTTTACTGCAGTAACTCGATCTACTAGCGACTGCACTTCGATCAGAAACACATTAGATTGATCTGGAAACAGACCGTCTTCAGTTCTGTCTCATATTTCTATATTCTGTATTCACTCCAACAAAGTGATCAGGAACATGATGTAATGCGCATAGCCGGGAATGACTTGGCTAGGTGTCATTACAAAGAATGCCAAAATTGACAAATCTGAAACAAAGTTTCCAGAAAGTGTTGTGAGAAGAAATAATAAGTAAGCTACAAAAATGAAGAATGTTATCAGCAACTAAACTGAAAAGAAAATCTTCCTAGTGTCATTTTCATTAACAAGCCTCTCATTGCTGTTTCTCTCAGTAATATTAGTTCTCTCTGACTTACTTTGACCTAAACATGTCTCTCTCTGTCTCTCCATTTGTTCTTCTGTCTCTCTTTCAATTTGTCTAACTCACTCTGCGGCAGGTGGTAAGTGCTTTTCTTCTCCTCCTCCTCCTCTTTTCTTCTTCGTGTTTTTGTCTTCTCTCAATGGCTTCGGCTTTAATGTGTTTTCAGAATGTTTTCATCCATCATTCGTGGAATATTACTCATCTAAAGTAGATCTCTGTGGTAGGAGGGAGCCAGTCGGTCTGAGATATAATTGTGCGTTGGTTGTGATGTTTGTGGAGCTGGTGTGATACTGCCATCTGCTGACAGCTTTATGAACTGCAGTTATCTTCTTAGCAATGACTAGTGTGGTTGAATATGGTCACTGTGATTTTTCCATCATTCCATCCTGGATCAACATATTTTGTTTAGTGTCTACCCTACCCATAACTTGATTAGTGAATGAAAACCTGTCATTCAAATCTGATTGGTTAATTGAAATATAGTCAACAAAGATTTTGATCCAGGAACATGTTGTACTTGGTGAAATCCAGTAGTTCACTTTTAAAAAAAATATTTGCTGAAAATTTACTCACCCCCGTGTCATCCAAGATATCCATGTCTTTCTTTCTTTAGTCGAAAAGAAATGAAGGTTTTTGATGAAAACATTCCAGGATTTTTCTCCATATAATGGACTTCAATGGGAACCAAACGGTTCAAGGTGCAAAAGACAGTTTCAGTGCAAACTGTTCAAACAAGCGATCAAGCGAAACGATCGCTTATTTAATAAATAAAAAAAATGTTCGTGACTCTCCTGTTCGAACTTGGTCATCAAAATGAACAAATCTTTGCCCGAGTCAACTCGTTCATTTTGTTCTTTGAATGAACCAAATGACACGGAAAAAGACTCGTTCATTTTGATGAACGAGTTTGAACAGGAGAGTCACGAACAGAGCAAGGCGACCATTTGAGCTTATAAAACTTAAACTTTATTTTTTTTTTAAATGAGCGATCATTTCGCTTGATAAGACCCTTATTCATCGTCTGGAATCGTTTAAAGCCATTTGAGGCTGCACTGAAACTTTCTTTTGGACCTTGAACCGTTTGGTTCCCATTGAAGTCCATTATATGGAGAAAATCCTGGAATGTTTTCATCAAAAACCTTAATTTCTTTTCGACTGAAGAAAGAATGACTTGGATAATCTTGGATGTCATGGGGGTGAGTAAATTATCAGCAATTTTTTTTTTAAAGTGAACTACTCCTTTAAATATAGTTATTTTTTCCATCTTTATCTGTGATTTTATTTTTGTATTGTTACTTTTACATTGGTTTTTGTAAAGACTCAGTTTTCAATATGGTTATGTATATTTACAAAAAAAAAATGCCATTGGATCTGTGTGTTTGGGGAGGTTTTGTACAAAAATATGGTAAAATGTTGTCAGAGCACTAATAATAGTGATGCACAAGTTACCCAGCGAGGATATAAGCATTTTTTCCCCTTCTTCAAATCTTTAAATAAATCTTGAGAAAAGCATGATGTGGATTTAACAGCCCTCAAGCATTTCTCCTCAATTTTGATTCACAGTCTCTGCAGTTTTTAATTATGTCACTGCATAATTTAACAATTTAATTTATAGACAAATGGCAGACAAAAAAAGCTTTGCTATGTCACAGTTCATTCCTTCCAAAGTTAGAAGACTAATATCCAATCAGTCTGGTGTTAGCGAAACTTCAATGCTATTTTGTTAGTAATTGGCATGTGCCAAATAATGACATTATTGTTGTAACACTGTAATGTGTTGCAGAATATTGGGAAGAAGATGTCCTACCAGCAGTTCATTAGCAATCTGGACGGCCTAGACGACGGCAAAGATTTTCCCAAAGAATTGCTCAAGGTAATTATTTTCTATTATTTTATTATTGTGGACAACCAGCGGGTGAGCACAAGAAAAATACCTTGCATGTCTACTGATAAAGTGTGATTTCTCACCAAACCTGACTGATTTCATTAAAACACACTCCAAACACAGTAACTGCATAATGTGCATGGTGTACAGTAATTGCATATATTCTTTCATGAGCTCTGTCCCAGAAAGCCCGGCTGACTGTGTTTGTGGTGTTTCAGATGTACGGTTTTAACAGTCTCATATGTCTCTGTCCTGGTTTAGGTGCTCTATAACTCAATAAAGAACGAGAAGCTGGAGTGGGCGATGTGAGTATCCAATATCATCCCCAGGAGTCAAGAGCGCTCACATTATCATGTGACTTCTGGGGCTAATCTGTGCGTAATGCGCGTAATACCTGCACACATGCATTAATGGCGTTCTGTTTCTGCAGCGAGGAAGAGGAGTTGAGGAAGAGTCTATCGGAGCTGGTGGAGGAGCAGTGCGAGACGGGAGGGAAGCGGGTTGTCAGGGTAACGGACGGCATTAACCCTTTCATCGCCATTCCACTTTTACTCAATGCTGCAACGTACAAACACGGGGTTCTGACACGCAAAAGCCATGCAGACATGGACGGCAAACGCAGTAAGTGTAGAATCAGGCTTTTGGATACATTTCATGGTCCTGTTTCCTTAGTTTCTGATTCATTTCCTGTCCTTTCTCCTGTGACGATCAACATAAGAGGCATCATTTAACAGACAAATAAATAAATAAACAGAAAGGTAAATCGTGTTAAAAAAACGTATGTATGTAAACCTAATTTAAAGGCATCATAGCCGGCAAGATGCCTTCTTCTGGCCAATAATTTGCTTCCTCATTTTTGCCAAATTCCCTAATAGACAAGGCAATCCCATAATGCTTTGTGAGAAGCTCAGTGTTATTTCAGTATTACCTATATACTATTATAGTGTTTATTAATATTTTGAATTTGTTTTAATTTTAAACTTTCATTTTAATTCTGGTTAAAGGTTGATTCATTTTGTTATGTGCATTTTAACTTACATTTATTTATATTAGTTTGTGGAACATTTCTAATTATTAACTTAATTAAGTTTTTCATCTAACATTTATAATTATTTTATAAATTAATATGTGTGTGTGTGTGTGTGTGTGTGTGTGTGAGTATCGGCGATGTCAGGCTGAACCTTGTATCTCCAGTAATGCAATTTTTCAGGAAATGGAAAAAAAAATTCTGTATTTTTAAATGAATTAAACACCATGTTGTCAAAGTTGATATTGTGGCTTTAAATATGATCAGACACTTGAATGTGTCATTATATTGTTAGCATTTCATCAAAACCAAGCTAAAAATTGAATTACAAGGTTTCTGACCAGCAAATTTCAGAGAATTTTGGACATGCATGTTTTTAGTGGCCGCATCTGAGGCAGTTAGTGCATTAAATTACATTTTCAGCAACATACAGATTATAAGTTTATTGTATCTATATAGGCTCTCAGTTTTCTGTCATTTGGCCAAAATCTGTTATCGAGTGCATGCTATTTAAGATACACTGGCTATTACTTTAAGACTAATGCTAGACTAAGACACATTTGCTCCTCAAATGCATAAAACATTAGCCTTATATAAAGTGTTTCTTGAGTAAAGTGAGTTTGAGGGGTTGCAACTTGCAAGGTTTAGTCTCAAGCTTTTTTATAATACATTTTTTAGGTTTAATATTTGCAAAACCCACAGACAGATGTAAAGGGTGACCAATAGTAATGATGGAGAATGAAAGAAGGAGAATGAAAGAAGGAAATTATGGAGAGTGAAAAAGAAATATATATATATATATAATATACACTCAGGGCTTGATATGAACTTTTTTGCTCACTAGCCACTGTGGATAGTTTTCCAAAGTTTCACTGGTCACAATTTGGACACTGATACCATAGGGGAATAACTACCACTATAACTACTAACTAAAATATATAGATATTTTTAATAGCATCTCTAATCTAATTTGGCAGCCGGTATATTAGGTTACTGTCACTTTAAGACCTGACGCACGGACCCTTTATACTGTTTTATACAGTATAGCCAATATACTTTATGTGCACGCACTTTGGGTGTGAGCACAAAATCTGCGGGAATGAGTAAAATTGTGCTCAATACGTGCAATCCCTCACCAGAATTCCCCAACAATATTCATCCGGAGGAAATTAAACAAGTGAGTAAAGGATTGGTGTGTCAACTCACTGTCGAGAGATTAGAGAGCGAGAACACACAGCTGGTATCCTTTGTATCTATTCTGCGGAAGAGTTTCAGATATTTTCAGTATCAATATGTATCGAAAAATCAATATTACTGGCAACACTAGATTGCACTTAGTTTATTATTTCAGATGCCTTTTTAAAAGACTATATATATTATATAAAATTCAACCCGCCAAAGTGGCTAGCAAGAGACAACACGCCAACGCTGCTGAATACACACGCATTTAGCGGGTTAAATGTCAAGCCCTATGGATGTGTGTGTGTGTGTGTGTTTATAAGCTATACATTTTTATAAATGTATACAATATTTTATACATGCACTCAGATCGTATTGAAAACGAGCCGAATCTCCTGTGCCGAGGATTGTTTGTGTGTGGAGGCGTTTCCAATGCAGAACATCACAAATAGGTCACTTATGAGATACGCTTGATAGTTTGCATGTTGTCTTAGTAGGTACCTTAGTGAGCTCTAAGGTTTGGAACAGAGCTAATGTCAAGAAAGGCAATAAATCCGCATTATTTGGGATCCGCCAAGATTTCCTTCTGTTTAATAATGCAGCTGCTTTAATTAAAACAATTAGGTTGTATCTTACAGAGAGGTGGAGTTCATTTGTGAGCGGAGAAGTTGCTTTACAGATTTGCTTTCTTCGACTTGTGTTGCCGCAAACAGCAGAGGAGCTCATTAGTGAAGTGTGTCTTTATTCTGTCTCTCGCACACACACATTTTCTCTTTTATTCTGTCTCTCTGCAGCCCCGAGAGGACGCCGAGGCTGGAAGAAGTTTTATGCCGTGCTGAAGGGGATGATTCTCTACCTGCAGAAAGTAATTTAAATCTACCTCCCACACACACACACACACACTGCAACATACTTATACTATATTTCACAGTATGTGTACTATACTACGCACATCAGACATCAGAAGAGTTAAGACATTTTTTACACAAAATTGGATTTTAAACGGCAAATAATAATTACATTTCCAAGAGTAAAACTGGATGTCAATCAGTGAATTATGTAACCTAGTGAGGTCAAGTTTAAAATGTTACATACTACACACTCTATCACATACTGCATTTTAGAATATAAAAGGTAATATATATCATAGCGTACAGTATGCTAAAAGTGGCACGCTAGCTTTCTATTCTGAACATAATGAGCTGTCTGCGGTCTACATAGGCAGCTTTCTTCTAAGGCAACATGCTAACTGAAATCGAGACCTCGACCGGTTTAAAATGCTCTACATCCTACACAAATTGCGATCCTCACAAGAAGTGCAAAATAAACTCTACTTACAATTGATTTCAGTGGAGTTTGACATTAGGATGCGGTTAAGATAACATTCTGATAACACACAATAGACAGTTCACACAAGTATTGGGTTTTATTAGTACTTTTTCATGTTGATTATTCAGTGTGAATGTAATAAATGTAGTTTTGTCAATTGCGTTAGACACTGCAATACTTAATGGAATTGCTGTCGCCGTGATGGACACACGCTATATTCAAAGGAACTGCCTTTGTGCATTAAAGGCGTAGTTCACTTAAATAAAATTTTGCTGATAATTTACTCACCCCCATGTCATCCAAGATGTCCACGTCTTTCTTTCTTCAGTCGAAAAGAAATTAAGGTTTTGATGAAAACATTCCAGGATTTTCTCCATATAATGGACTTCAATGGGAACCAAACAGTTCAAGGTCCAAAAGACAGTTTCAGTGCAAACTGCAAACTGTTCAAAGGGCTTTAAACGATTTCAGACGATGAATAAAGGTCTTATCAAGCGAAACGATTGCTCATTTAAAATAAAAATAATAAAGTTCAAGTTTTATAAGCTCAAATGGTCGCCTTGCTCTGTTAGGGTGTGATGCACGTTCGTGACTCTCCTGTTCGAATTAATTCATCAAAATTCAATTCAACTTGTTCATTTCGTTCGTTGAATGAACCAAATGACACGAAAAAAGATTCGTTCATTTTGATAAACGAGTTGGAACAGGAGAGTCACAAACGTGCATCACAGAACAGAGCAAGGCGACCATTTGAGCTTCTAAAACTTAAACTTTGTTATTTTTTTTAAAATGAGCGATCGTTTCACTTGGTAAGACCCTTATTCATCGTCTGGAATCGTTTAAAGCCCTTTTGGACCTTGAACCTTTTGGTTCCCAGTAAAGTGCATTATGTGGAGAAAAATGCTGGAATGTTTTCATCAAAAACCTTCATTTCTTTTCGACTGAAGAAAGAATGACATGGATTTCTTGGATGACATGGGGGTGAGTAAATTATTTTTTTTAAAAGTGAACTACTCCTTTAAATGCATTAAAATGCATCTTTTGGAACACAGCCATTGTCTCTCTCTCTCTCTCATGCATTTTCTTTTTCGCTGTATCTGTCTCCTCCTATGGCCAGGATGAGTATAAGCCTGATAAAGACCTGTCGGAGGTGGACTTGAAGAACGCAGTACGGATTCACCACGCTCTTGCTACTAGGGCATGTGACTACAGCAAGAAACAGAACGTCCTCAAGCTCAAGACCTCTGACTGGAGGGTCTTCCTCCTGCAGGCCCCGTAAGCATCACACGTCTTTAACTGCTCTGAGAGGCTTTTCTTGTTGTTGTTGCTTTTACTACAGTCGGTTAGTTAACGGCACACTGTCACATTGTGCTAGGATGGGTATTTGTCAGATTGCCTTTATTTTTTGTTTCATTTGACTTGTTTGACTTTCCCTTTAAATGCATGCGTGTAGGAGTGAAGAGGAGATGATGTCATGGATCTTCAGGATTAATCTGGTGGCGGCTCTTTTCTCGGCTCCTGCTTTTCCCGCCGCCATCGGCTCTATGAAGAAATTCTGCAGACCACTGCTGCCTTCATCCACCACTAGACTCAACCAGGTGCACAAACACAGCTGGAAACAGCCCACAGACTCATGAGCTTTAGTACCGGATGTAGTAGAATCATATTGTAATTTGATCATTGATAATTAATTGAACTATTTATTTAACATTAGGGTTAACACATTGCTATCCCATGATGCAATGGAATCAAATTGACTGGAATTTACCGGAAACATTTTTTTTTACTTATTGATACCAAAAGACATTTTTATGCCAATTGAATCAAAAATGCAATATATATATATTATAATAATATATGTATATTCATGAATATTCTATAGTTATTAATATTTTTTTTTAAATTTGTAATATCATTGTATACAAAAATCATGTATAATGCAAAATATGTAATATATATATATAATTTAATTTAATATGTGTAATGAAATATATTTAATATATATAATAGTTTTAGTATTATAATAATGTTTATATTAATAAATATACTATAGTTACTAATATATTTTTTACATTTTTATATATGTAAATATATTTAATTTAAAAATATGTATTTACTCACTGAATTCTAATGTCTTGTGACTTATATTTATTAATATACACTTATTATTATATATTAATTGAATATGTTTATATTAATAAATACAAATATATATTTATAATAAATATATATTTATTAAAAAAAATATATAAATAATAATCAATAATGTCCTGTGAGACTTGTATACTAATGTATTACTAATAAAATGAATAGCATTGCATTGGGCTATGTTTTATGTACTATTTAAAAAATAATAATAGGCAGTGTACTGTATATACATGATGGTAGTTATGATTTATACAGGAGGAGCAACTGAAGTCACATGAGAACAAACTGAAGCAGATCTCTCTGGAGTTGGAGGAACACAAGAGAAGCCCGCCAGATCTGACGCCCAAGAGCAAAGAATCAGAAGAGTATCGAATCAAAGAGCACTATTTAACCTATGAGGTCAGACCAATACAAGTCATCTGCAAACGCTTCTGTTTGTCCCTTTAGCTATCACATTCATGCTTTTGCTATTGCACAGGGCTAATGAAGAAGAACATTTCAGTCGAATTTGTTAGAATATACACACATTTTAACCTTTGTTTTTAGTTATCAATTTGTTTATAGGTCACAAAATAGCATCTGTAAAACATATTTTTAGGTCACAGGTCTGTTCTGATCATAGTCACCAAGGAAAATGAATGCATATTGCAAATAATAAAGTGCTTCTAACCATATAATTGTTTGTTAAGGAGGAAAACCTGTGTATTTAGTTTTAGTTGTCAAAGTTATTTGTTGTAGTGTGTATTTGTCAGCCTGTTGAAATGAGGATAAACATGGTTTATGCTGACCACATTCAATTATATATTAAAAATGGTGAAATAATTATAATATAGAAAAACAAAAAGCTTACAGGCAAAAGCATACATTGACTACAGCATAATCACTTTTGAGGTCAAAATTTGATTGTTTCTGTCTTTATTAAGTGTTCATAATATCTTTGTATGACAGCCTGGTCGCACAATTTGGCATAAGATCTTTAATATATTTTAATAAAGGGAGAAGATGCCAATTTTCCCAGGCCGGACATCACTGTTGGCCACTGCTGTACAAATATTAAAAATGACAGTGTTTGATTTCAAGGACATTTTCGGTCACCTTTGTGCATAAAAACCTATATTGGCTCTCGTAATCTGGGAAATAAAGCAAATTCAGTTGAGAACTGCTGATCTAAATGACATATATAAAGGGTTTGAAATTAACTTTTTCACTCACCGGCCAATGTGGTTTAAAAAAAAAAACTACTAAATTTTGAAGTCACCAGCCATTCAGAACTCCTACTAGCCAAAAAGAAAGAAAGAAAAAGAAATAAAAAAAAAAATAAAGTTTTGGATCTCATACATTAATTTCTTATTTTAAAAAAATCCTGTCATCCAGCATCTCCTCCCTTCCTCTTTCATCCTCATCAAATGTGTTTTAGGTGAACAGATCAATACAGTACAAACAACAACATGTAGGATGTTGGAAAATAACTATGTCTTTTCTGTTAACCACATGCTTTTTAATCTCCGCTATTGATTCAATGCAAGTGAACAAGCGTCCTGTTATTTGTTGCCTAGTGACGTGTGTGTTCAAGTAGGCCAGATATGAGCAGATTCTGTGCATCGCACTGTATTTAATATATCATGATGACTCACGAGTTCAGTATTAAACTCTAAATCTGCACAGAATCAGATTTGGCCATGATTTGGCTCACACAAACTTCCCAGCAAAACGAACTAAACATAATAACATGCCAAATTGACTAGTGATTTGACAGCGTTACCCGACACATTTGATTTTTAGCCGCATTTGGCGGTTATATATATATATATGAAGAGTTCAGATGCAAAAGCCTCTAAGTGCCATTTGAAATTTTCTTCTAGAATGATCATTTTTATCAAGCTTGTATATTTAAGTTCAGTAATTTCACTTAAATGGCAATGATAATTACCTATTAAGTTTGACAAAAATCATAATTGAAGAAGAAAATATCAAATGGCATTTAGAGGCTTTTGCATCTGAACTCTTCATATATATATATATATATATACATTTTTGTGTATACCAGGGAACTACTCAGTGCATATTTGTTTTGCTAGCCAAAACTATCATTTTAATTGAAAGCTAATTTAACCTTCATTTTTTTCTGTGCCTGCAGAAATGTCGCTATGAGACGTACGTCAGCCTCCTGCAGGCCAAGTTCCGCGTGGGAAGTGACGACTTGGATAAGATTGAAGCCAGTCTGTTCAGCGGGGAGGGGAAAGAAGGTTACCTGCGCAAAACTCAGTCCAGCCCGTCAATCAGCCAAGGTCAGGGGGTCAACGGACGGGCCGCTCATAAACACGCCCCCGAGCTTAATAGCTGAAGAGCCTTTTCTGACCCCTGAACTCATGCGACAGACTCACGTCTGACCCCGACTGCGGTGGGTTCAGAAACCCGAGACGGACTCGTTTCGTGAACGGAGAGAAATACAAACGTAGCATTATAATATCCTTATTATTTCAATGTACAGTAAATTTATTATGTATTATTAGTATTATTAATACAATAAACATAGTTAATAATGCTATGAACATTATTATTTGCCAAATACAAAAAATGAGGAGACCAAGACTGTATAAGTGAGAAGAAATGACAACACTGCATATAATGTCAAGAGAAAGTGAACTACGGCATCACAAACGCGCTTTGGGAGATGCAGCCATGTTGTGATGTCATTTAGAACTTTATAGAGTGCCGAAGTGATGACGTCACTTTGTAGGACAACTCGGAAGCTAGCGGCGCATGGGTTCCCTCGGCTCGAAAAGCTATGCATTTTCCCCATAGACTTTTGGAAAATCGCAAAAAATAAGATCTGTGTTTAACAAAGAGTTGTGACCCTTACACGTTTTGTCTAGCAAGATAATCTTTACAAGTTAATCCAAAATGTATACATTTTGAAGCCTATATAAAGTTTTTAAACAACACAAGCAGACACAATGAACTGTGTGTTCTATGTTGAGGCTTTGTTCACCACAGACCTTATTTCAGGCGATTTAGCAAAAACCCATTCAAAAATCCCATAGACTTTAGAGCGAGGGAACCGGGAGTGCTAAAATGCTAACTCACTTCTGCGTTTTGGCCTACAGAGTGACGTCGTAACTTCGGCACTCTATTATCACGCAAAGAGATTCATTTAGATTTCCTTTAGATTAAAGGGACAGTTCACTCACCCTCATTGTTCCAAACCTGTATGATTTTCTTTCTTTTGTGATAAGATGTTTTGAAGAATGTTGGGGTCCAAGAAGCAACATCAGACCCCATTTATTTTCAACAATGTCTGAGACATTTTCCAAAATATCGTCTTTTGTGTTACGCAGAAGAAAGAATGACATGAGGTGAGACAGTTTCATTTTTTGGTGAACTGTCCTTTTAAGAACCGTTTTATAAGACCTATGACATCACAAAGGAGCAATGTGATGGTTTGAGAATTTAAATGTTAAGTCTGTCATTTTTTTTTCCAATGTTAAAGTTTTAGTTTAATATGCAGAGACAAAAATGAGTGAAGTAAATATTTCCCCAAAATGAGTTTGACAAGCCTGAAAATAGTTCAACCAATAGCATCGGTTTGGGGGCGGGACTGTCAGTTTGACTGACCAACGGCAGACAGGGATCTGAACTGTGATTTTGAAAAGTGGCGCAGAAATGACACGCTTCACCTTTAAATAATCCCATGACATCACTTAGCAGTCTTTGACATTCTTTATGACATCACAATGTGTATATCCCAAGGCTGTGTGCGATAATGGTCTGGTTTAGATGTAGCATTTGATGTACTTGTGAGACGTTCACAGTATCGGCCTCATAAAGTAGCCAGTTTAAGGGCTTTGCCGCACGCGGAGGTGCATGTAAAGATTCATGTGGGCTGTCTGTAGTGTTATACAACTACCACATTGTAATTATTTATTATGTCATATTTATGAATTGTACATTTATTTTCTCCTTTCGGAGCCTATATAGCGGACTACGGGAAAGCGCGTGTAAAGACGAATACATTTGACCCTTGTTTGGTTTAACCCACACCATTGTTTTTGTTCAAACTCTCTTTAAACCGAGGAGCTGATGGTTGATAATGGACCCATGGATATAATGGATGTTGAAAAATGCAGTGTCTTAACACGGAACAGGGTATGGGACATTGTAATTGTATGCGCACAAGCGAGGAAAGTCGAGTCGGAGTATGCAAAACCGTGAAGAAGAGGAAAAACTTTTGGGGCTGAAAGCGACACCCTCATTTTCTTTATTCAATGGACCACAAAGCCTCTATGTGTCTCTATGTGCCTGCAGAAGATTCAACCTGGACTGATCATTGAGCAGCAGGACTGCAAACAACACACCATGAACCTCCCGGCCTCTTCCTCTGAATCACTGTAGTCAACCCAAACGTCTCAACCCTGGAAAAGTGTCACTTTTGAAGAAGATGAGCCATCAAATAGGCCTCTGAAACTCAACGGTACAAACTTTGATCAAGTGCAAGTCGATTTTTATAGTCCTGTTTAAAGCATGAGGACATTGAAAGTGAGAGTGAGCTTTTGGCTCTTTTATGCTTTATGGATGTTGGAATGACGTAAGAGCTGCGGTTTTATACATTCTTAGTAATGGCTTTCGTAAAAGGACCTCTATAGCCTACTTTTCGCTTTGGCTGTTGTGCTAACATGATTTTCCCGTTTAGGGTAGGACTCGACGCTGTTGTAATAAAAGATTGTGATGATTATTTCACCATCTCCGCCTGCGTGGAAGGAATCTGTGTGTTTCGTGCCATTTAAAAGACTTATTTCTGCCACACAGCTTAGTAGGAGCTCTTTTGCTAAGTGTTTCATTAATCATTTCTTATAAAACAGCACTGGTATATATTTCATCTCATATCTAATGTCTTTATTCTAATCCAAAGTCGTCATTTTCTTGGTAAATTCTATTACACATTACTATCAATCAAGTCTATGGCAAAAAAACTCTTTAAGTCAACATGAAAAGTTAACCCATTTTATTTCCACTTGATGTTGGTTGAGAAGGAAAACAGTTTTAGAGGAACTACTGCACTAAAGAACATCCAAAAATAAGACACGGAGTATGTGTTATGAAAGTAAGAAGGGTTCATTTTGATTTCATGTTGACTTTTTCAGGTTAAAATGCCAGTGAAACTAGAGTACTGAAGGAATAGGTCCTAAAACTTAGAAACAAGTTCACGAAGTTAACATGTTTGCACCTCCGGTTTTCTCGTTCATCTTCAGAACACAAATGAAGATATTTGAAATGAAATCTGAGAGCTTTCCGTCCCTCCATTGACAGCTACACTCTCCGAAAAAAAGGTACAAAAGCTGTCACTGGGGCTGTACCTTTTCAAAAGGTAAACTTTTGTCCATGTTAGGTGCTAATATTACATTTTAAGTGTTGATATGTACATTTTAGGTGCTAATAAGTACATTTTAGGTGTTAATATTTACATTTTAGGTGCTAATATGTACATTTTAAGTGTTAATATGTACATTTTATGTTCTAATAAATACATTTTAGGTGTTAATATGTACATTTTAGTTGCTAATATGTACATTTCAGGAGCTAATATGTCCATTTTAGGTCCTAATATGTACATTTTAGGTGTTAATATGTACATTTTAGGTGCTAATATGTACCACTAAGGTACCAATATGCAGCCTTTGGGTACAAAAGTGTACCTTTCGAAAAGGTACAGCCCCAGTGTCAGCTTTTGTACCTTTTTTTCTGAGAGTGTAAGCAACTACTACTTTGACGCTTCAAGTTCATAAAGAGATCGTAAAACTAATCCATGTGAATTGAGCGGTTTAGTCAGAATTTTCGGAAAAGACACGATCGCTTTATATGATGAACAGTTTGAATTTAGGCTTTTAATCACATATATATTGATCAACACACAACAGGGGCCTATACCATGAAGCCGGTTTAGGTGGTATATTCCAGTTTAGTTTGCGCCAACCCTGGGTTTTAGACACCATTAAAGTGGTTTGGCTTTTAGCAGTGTTCATCGCCATAGTAACTTGCGCTCCACAGCTAACCTGGTCCGGGGCAGGATATGTTCCAGGTAAGTGGTTGCAAACCGATCTTGGACCAATCAGCTGTGAGCAAAGTGACGCATGTCTGACGCGATGTCTGTTTCTACTCCAAATTAAAGGTCACATAGCACATTTAGTAATACTCATTTAGAATAATAAATTTGCATGATTTAGACATTATTTGTGTAATTATTATACCCTTAAACGATCTTGCATTTTCAGTTCATCAATTATTAGTATGCAAAATTTGGACTAAAGCACTCAATTGGCTTTATGCACAGCTGCACTACTTTTTGAATTGCAGCCAGCTCCTTGTTTCCTGTCTGCCATTATTGGACAAACTTGATTAATTCAGGTGTGCCTGATTATTTTTGTTGTGACTACTCAGGTCAGACACACCTGGATTAATCAGTTTGTCCAATAATGACCGACAGGATACAAGGAGGTGTCTGAAGTTCAGGAAGTAGTGCAGCTGTGCATAAAGCCAATTCAAATGGATTAGTTTTACAATCTCTTTATGAACTTTTTGAACCATTTAAGTGTCAGTTATGTAGCTGTCAATTTCAATAGTTTTGCTGTGTTTAATGCAGGGTTTCTCAAACTCGGTCCTGGAGAGTTTAACGCCAACCCTGATTAAACACACCTGAGCAAGCTAATCAAGGTCTTCAGGATCACTAGAAAGTCACAGGTAAGTGTTTTTGTTTAGGGTTGAAGCTAAACTCGGCCCTCCAGGGGCTCGTTCTTCGTACGTTGCTTAAAACATCCGAGATCAAATGAGACATCCAAGATAATATCATCGTGCTAATCATGATCCGGCTAATTGGGTTCTTCGAACACACCTGTTGTTTATGATTAGTATCGCTGGATTGAGTTATCTGAGATAACTGCGCGTTCTCGCGTTGGTTTAAAAGGGGACATGTATCGATAGCAGAACCAGTGATCAGCAACGCTGCTATTGGCTGTTCAGCATGGCCAAAGAACACGCCCAGTTTTTCTCCCAAGCAGAGCAAGCGCTTTTAATGGAAGGTTATACCGAATTTCAGTCTTTAATTAAAATGCCAGGAACACCTCAAAGTGTGCAAAAGCCAGGAGAGAGTGCTGGCAAAAGTAGAAGACAAATTAAATGCGTTTGTGGTGGCCATGTTAGATGTTTTAATAACTTATTATTATTATTATTATTTTATTTTTATTTTCATAATTTCATAATTACTTTGTTCATTGTAATGTCGAGTCACCTATAATAATGGACATGGTCAAAGTGAAGTCCAAAAATATTCTACTTAGGCCTATGGTAAATGTATAGGCCTTACAGGCCTATAGTCTCTTTTAAAAAGGCACTGTTAAATAAATGATTGTCTGTTTAGAAAAGCAACCAAGAAAAAGGCTGAGAAAAAATAGCAGCAACACCTTCATCACTGGGAAATGAGATTTAAATTATCTTTGTACACTGTGAAATAATTTGTTGCTGCATTAAATGAAGTAGACCTACAATCCAAATTGGCTGGTTTAGTCATTTCAACTGTTAAATCTTGAGTAATGATAAATTGCTTTGTCTTGTGAAAGTAAAAACTGATAAACTTATGTTAATGTAAAAATATTTTGCCATGAGTTATCAATCACATTGCACTGGAGAGTGAAGAAAACTTCTCAGATGACTGTCCTTTGGAGGAAGTACTTTAATTTAATTGATGGCTTTAATTGATTTCTACTTGTGCCTATGCCTGTTATTTCTGACAGGAGTCCACATGTCCAGAAAGGCCTACAGAAGAGTCTGCACACAGCAGTGAAACAGGGGTGGGCAGTGTAGAGTCAACTTTTCCTTTTTATTTGTTGCATGAGGCATGTGTGACACAAACGACACAGGGTTAAATTCGTTCTCTATATGAGTCTTCAACAGAAAATAGAATATTTTGAAAAAACAAAAATCAGGGGGAGAAATAGAACTTAAGTTGCACTAGAAATAGAGTTGCTTCAAAATAAACTTCAGACTTAAATAGGCTACACTATTTCACACAGAGTACTATTGCTGACTATTGAAATAAAACTCTAAGCAAATAGAGTTTTGCAAATTTGTCTTGTCTTTTATTTTAGGCTTAATTAATTTTTTTTCCATGTTTCTGATGTTGGCAATGTTGTGTAATATGGCACATTTCACAGGCCCTGTCAGGTGCAACCCTCAGGCTTTTCAGACCCTGAAATCTAGTTGGCCAAAGGTCATTTCATTGTGTGCCCTTGTCCTAGAGCTTCATTGTAACTGGTCTGGGGTTTGGGTCAGGGAATGGGGTCATAAAACACCTGTCTCCATGCAGGATCCTGTTGTTATCACCTGTATAATGGAAAAATGCAGTTCTTATCGAATCGAACATTAATGTGCATTTCCAACAAAATAAAGTATAAACGACACTCTCACGACGATCGTTTCACGAGAATAAAATAAATAATCTCAGAAATTAGGCTACACTATCGTGCTGCGCTAAAGGACTTCCCGTATCAGCCGCGATCTAATCCTGTTTACATGAAATAAGCCTGCTCGCGAGCAGGTTCAAGCTGGCGCACCTGTTGCTATGACAGCAAGTCCAGGATGAGCGTCGAAGAACCAAACGATCCAAGATCATGCCAAATCGCCAACAATCAAATCCAGCTAACTGAGTTAGCGAGGTACGAAGAACGAGCCCCAGGACCGAGTTTGAGAAACCCTGGTTTAATGTTTGTTGGAGAGTTCATAAAAATTCTACGAAGTAAGTTGAAGTTATGTGGCCTTCAGTGCATGCCTATTAGCTTTGGGATCCCCTGGAAGCTAAATGCTAAACTGGATCTAAAGCTAATTTGACCCCACCTGACTAGCAATATCTTATCATAGTTCTCTGTTGTGACGCAAATAAAAAAAAATAGAAAGATTGTTCTTCCCGTCTGAAGTTCCTGTTTAATTTAGAGGTGTACAAAGTAAAGTAGGTTAAATTAAAGCAACTGAAGTTTTTAAAATAACAAATTTTCTGTGTTCCTTATTCGCTTTAACCAATTGAAGAGATACAGTAGTCCACCCAAATGTTCTATATGACTTTTTTCTTTCTTTCTGTGGATTGCAATTAAAGATATGTTAAGTCAGTGGGGTCCAAACATAACGATGTATGATGGCAGAGTTGCAATCAATGTTAGGTCATTTATTTCTTAAAGGAGTAGTTCACTTTTGAAAACACTTTTGCTGATTTACTCACCCCCATGTCATCCAAGATGTCCTCGTCTTTCTTTCTTCAGTCGAAAAGAAATTAAGGTTTTTGATGAAAACATTCCAGCATTTTTCTCCATAATGGACTTCAGTGGGAACCAAACAGTTCAAGGTCCAAAAGACACTTTCATTACAAGCTGCAAACTGTTCAAAGGGCTTTTATCGATTCCAGATGATGAATAAGGGCCTTATCAAGTGAAACGATCACTCATTTGAAACACGAAATAACAAAGTTTAAGTTTTATAAGCTCAAATGGTTGCCTTGCTCTGTTCTGTGATGCACGTTTGTGATTCTCCTGTTAGAACTTGTTCATCAAAATAAACAAATCTTTTTCCGAGTCATTTGGTTCATTCAACGAATGAATTGACTCGGAAATAGATGCGTTCATTTTGATGAATGAGTTCGAACAGGAGAGCCTTAAGACCTTTATTCATCATCTGGAATCGCTAAAAGCCCTTTGAACAGTTTGCACTGAAACTGTCTTTTGGACCTTGAACCGTTTGGTTACCAGTAAAGTCCATTATATGGCGAAAAATCCTGGAATGTTTTCATCAAAAACCTTAATTTTTTTTGACTGAAGAAAGAAAGACATGGACATCTTGGATGACATGGGGGTGAGTAAATTATCAGCAAAAGTTTTTTGAAAAGTGAAGCACTCCTTTAAAAAAGCCACTGGAACTGAGCTGATCTGGATATTAGAATTCAAAGACATGAAAACACCAATCACTGCCAGGGAGGAATGGATGATTTATTGCAATTAGTCATTTTCAGACACAAACGCTTTCCAACTCAAGAACAACATACGTACCTATACAAAAACACACTTGTTACCAAGAAACATAAATCGGAATAAAATCGTGAGAACACGCAAACAGCAAAGGGAACAAACGGAGGATGCAGAAGAGGAGGAGGATGGTGGTTGTGGCAATGATGAAGAGTAGAACACGGTGGATCTCTAAGCCAATTTAAGCACCATATTCATGTTATAGGAAAGGCAGAACAGAATACCTTAGAATGGGTACACACATGAGAATAATCATCACAGTATTTTTTCATTAGACATTTTAACCAACTAAAGAAAATAACAGTTGGTGCACTACTTAGTCATCATGCAATTTACTTTAGTAAACCTTCTGTAACACAGACAAAATAGACTTCAATATGTAGAAGAACTTCATAGATTACTGCCAAACAGCAATTGTCACAAAGCCTGGAAAGTAATTATAGAATCTTTGAATGTGAGGTCACCTATCAAAAATAATATGCTGATTTTTTTTCTTTTCATTTTCTTTATATATTTAAAGTGCAAGTATTTTATCCATTTGATTCAATGCTTTCTGTAAGTATAAAATACAAAGGAAAAAAAAACAAACAGCAATATGCTTTCTCCTATATATATTTCCTGTGCATATAGGAATACATATATAGGAACCATATGCATATTTATATATTTAATTCTATATATTTATATATATATATATATATATGCTATCTTTTTTTAATAAAGAGGCGCATCATATGTAACAAACCATATATACACACACATCACAGGTCATATATATATTTAAGTACAACACATTTGATAGGGAATAAAAAGGAAATGGTTGGTGGGATATGTGAATACCCTCCTTGTGCATTGACCCTCGATGCAGGACCCATCCCAGACAGTCCGCTTAATACGCCAAACGCTCACAGTTACATGCTAAGCAGGTCGAAGACTTGACCTTGTGAGACAAGTATGAGAACTAACCCAAGTTCGTGACTGGCCGTGGTTTAAGATGGAAGGGGGAACCGTATAATCGCACACGCACACACATACACTTTCGTAAGATTAACACGTAGATCAAGTTAAAAGGTCTTCGCATATTGGAAACTGCGGATACACGAGGGCTTTCAGTTCACAAATCCACGTTCCACTCATTAAGGTCAGGTGACGTTGGAATCGGCACCGCTAATTGGAGAATAGACTAGAGTTGGAGTACCTATCTTGTTTTTAATGTCCCCACAGCCTGTTGTGCATCAAACCAATACTGGTCTTTGCTGGTGGAGAGATCGAACACTATCAGACGAACGTTACGAGAAATTCTTGGCTGAACGCTGCCACCCGGACAGGATTGAGCCATTTAGTACCCGATAGCACCTTCACGTTTGACTTTACACATGTGCTCATTCCATCGAGGGTATCGTCTGAGAGCAAAAGCTTCTTTCCGAGGGCACTTTTTTTTTTTGCAGGTTTACATTGTTTTGCTCCAGAAAACACCCTTCAATGTGAACTTCCAGTTTCGATTTCGCACTGTGGCACACATCGAACAGTTTTCGTAATCGGTTCCGGGCAGTGATAGGAAAAAACATTTGCTTACCGGCATCAGAGGAAAAGAAGTATAACAGTGTACAAATAGACTTAAAATAGCCAGGACAAAAGCAGCATGCCGTCTTAAAGAGTTGCGTATCGAGCAAGACAAAGTGCCAATGTATGCTTTAATATTGTGCAGTGGTAAACAAGAGACCAAACGCACCACGTCCCCAGTAGACTTCCTCATGTGCTTAGCACAAAACGGGCCTTTAGCATGGGGGTCTGTGGCTAGAAACCCCTCAACTGTCTGTAGGCTGGTGGCTTTACTAGATACAAGAATCTAGTTTTTACAAAACCCCACATATCCCAGTAGCTGTGATGTATGGGTTTGACAGCAACAGGTCTTTCACCACACGTCTCAGCAATAGTAGCGAGTTGGCTTACGTCAAGAGGGAAAAAAAGGTCTTTATCTTAAAATTTCTTCAGATATTTGATCAAATAAATAGTTATGAATATCTCTGAATGAAGCATTGTGCATTTAACATAAAAAATACTAGAAACCGAGTATTAAACTACTCCAACCACCGAGAAGCTTAAACGACTACATCGATATTTTAGTTTAATACGCCGAGATGTTTCGCAAGCCTTTTTTTTTTTGCCATTGCAGGGGACGAGTATCCACACACACAAAATGACAAAGTCACGCAAGATTCAATCCCCTCGCAAACTCCCATCCCCCTCGGACCCCAAAAACATCACATAAAATAGTATTTCCGGAGGTTATGTTACCATTCTAATCAATTGGATTAGAAGATTATTGTACAATACATGACTATTTATAGCTTCGGTTTCATAATATGTGTGTGTGAAATTTTGAAAAGACGTTAATTGTTATATATAAATAGCTAGCTCAACATCATAAAGTGATTTTTAATCAGGCATTGAATAGAGTACCCATTTATAATGTCTTTAAGTCAATAGTTTTGCTTCGGGGGTCCAAAGGGGGACCTAAACCTACTGGGGGGACTGAAGTTTGCGCAACACCGCCATTGGCACGCAGCCTACAATATATTGCACACGATACTGAAGTGTTAGCACTGTAAGTAAAATCTCAAGGTGCGATGTGACGATGTTGACAACAAACGAATTCAGTAACTGATAAGTTAGACCGGCAGAAGAAAATCCCACGAACGGGGATATTAGCACCATACAAAAAAATCATACAGGCTACTGCCTCGGCCGTAAGTCTACTAATATAGGCCTACATTAGCATAACGCTGGGCTGTAGCAAGAAACATTTTTACCACCTTAGTACGCTTTTTTTTTTTCTTTTACAAGGAGCAGACCCCCACCGCCTTTAGGTGACTACTGCTAGATTCACATCGTGTCGGAATTACGACGCATTCTGACAAATCCAGTTCGCGTCTTTGTCGTAATTTGGAAATTTGACCATCAACGACAAAACCGCTCATGGATCAATTTTGGCATCGAGTGCTGCTGCCGCTGAAAACGACTCGCAGAATTGAAGTAACTACGAGACGACGTGAACGTAGCACGTCCATGTTTACGTCGGCGCTGTTTGATTATGACATCATCGTTCTTTTCCCGGCGACGTGGAGGGCCGAGAGCCCCGTGAGCCTCTTTCTTTGATTGGCTTGTCGAAGAAGTCATCGAAGAAGCACCACGAGTGGTACAGCAACAATGCTGTTGTGACCCCGAACGACAAAGAAAGACAAACAGCGATCAGAAAGAAAATCAGACACGTAAAGCATGTAAACGTGTGGAGAATATAAGGCACCAGAGTTGTTTTTTTGACGTTGTAGAGGATGCTCCGCGCAGGTATTATCGCAAGTCACACTAGTGGACAACTTCTGTTTGAGTACCCATCCCACCCCACCCCCATCCCACAAAACAAAACAAAGAAAAATTCCCACAGAAAACGTGGGCAATTTCATAAGGATCTAAGTACATCTGATTCACAAAATCATAGTTTGTATATCTAAGTTAGCACTTCAATGAAACCGTCTGCCCAAATGTCAGTGGGCATGGTGCAACAGGGTTCGTTTTTAACAGGAACAAACGCCAACCGGTCGTTTTAGCAATGCCTTCGCTGTGCGGCTACCGAAGAACACATTGCATGACGCATGCAAACAAACAATCTCATTTGCTTCGTGTATAGAGTTAAAAGGCAAATGAGTAAACAACGACTAGATTTTCTCATATGCGTTTGAAGGTGCACTCATTCATATTTTGTTTTATATTATTCTGCAAATGAAAGTTGAGTTTCTGTAGATAATTTGGTTGGTCATGTGATCTCATCATGGTGGTACCCATGATGCAATCATGATGGAGTGCACCTTTTAAGTCGAAACCAGAAGGTGTGACGTCCATTACGTATTTTGAATATTCCAACAGAGCGCGTGTAGAAATACACACAGCACTCCCTAATCTTTGCACCTTCACTTCTGATGTTCGTTTGCATGTTGAACTTTTGGTTCAAAATGGTTCCTAAAGAATAGCTTTTGTGCTGGAAGTCAAAAAGTAAGCACTAATAATTCATATATTTCTTCCTCTTTGTCAATTTGCACCATTGGAAATAGTTACACTGCAGAAAAAATAAAATAAAAATCCATCTTGTTTTCCAGTAAAATCAGCCTTAAAACAAATTTACTTGACAAGCAGAAATGTACAAGTCAAGTTAGAGAGGGGTCAGTTGCTCTAATAAGCAGCTCTTGCTTTGCAGCTCTCCTTAAAACCCCCAGCGTGCATGCTGAATATCAGCAGCATTTTCCACGTCATGTCATCAGGTTTTACACATGAAAGAGACGCATCTATCAAATTGACAACACAATTGACAGGTGTCAGTTCTCAACTTAGAAAGCAACTGCCCCCACTCATGTGTCAAATTTCACACAGGACAATTTTTTTTTTTGAAAGGGTAATTTTACCATTGGCTATGTATGTCCTTTACTTTCCAGTATTGACATTCTTTGCTGTGTGTTATGAGTGGTTTGAATAAAATTGTGCACACTGCTGGCTGGGTTTTACTTAAAACATATATATAGTACTGGAAAACAAGAGGATTTCGCAGTGCATTAGAGCTTGGATGTGTCACACACGTGGGTAAAGCGGGATATACACACACTCCAGCACCATCCTGGACACGGTTCACACACATGTTGTCGATAGCAGCGTCTTACTGTTAAATGGTGGGTAAGTGGGTAACTTCCGGCGATGAGTGAAGAGATGCAACTGTTCGAGTCTGAGGGTTGTTGTGTGTCTGTGTGTGTGTGTCGAGCGATCCCATATTACAGTAACGTCTGATTATCATGTCATTCGTTCTGAGCCCATATATTAGTCCTCGTCCCCCTCGTCCTCTTGCAGGCCCTCCGGTAGCATCTCGCGCGCCCTCCGCTCCCGGCTCCGCTCCTGGATCTTCTTCATCTCGTCCGCGTACTTGCAGAAGGTCGTGCCGAATTTGGACCACACTTTGCAGGGTACGGTGATGGAGTTGCGGTAGGTGGGCTTCACCTCGCTTACCCGCATAAAGACGCCGTACTTGTTGGAGCCTACGTCGAAGAAGAAGCGCTTGTTGTCGACTGTCAACGACGTGCCTTCGGGCAGTTCCGCCGGGTCCTCGTCCACGCCGAAGTCATCGATGAGTTTGGCCAGCGCGTCGCGGAACTCGATGAGTCCCTGGGCCGGAAGAGCAATGGTCTGGCCTTGCGAGGTTCCCAGGCCAGGCCCGCGATTGACGGTCTGCCGGATCCGGAGAAACCGCCCCCTCTGGTTCTCCTTCAGATCCATGTAGTACTTTCTGTTCTCCCGCACCAGGAACTCGCTCTTAAGCGCCCTCCTGGGCTCGTCCTGCACAATCTCGGGGTTGCTGGGGCCCAGCTGGGCGTAGTGCTCGATGAAGTCTCCCAGGTAGTCGCGGAACTCCACGGCGACGGACATGGAAAGAGTCAGGCGGCTCTTGTTTCCTCCGGCCCCGACCTCCGCAATCTTCAGAAAGCGGCCTTTGGCGTTCTGCTTCACGTCCAGATAGAAGCGTTTGTTCTGGATGTCCACCCGCTTCGAGGCGAGCTCCTCCGTGTCGTGCTGGAGTCGCGATGCGGCGCCCGGTTGCATCGGCCCGGCGCCGGGGCCTGTGGCGAATCCACCGTGCTCACTTTCACTGTCTCTGTCCGCCATGATGCAGCCTCCCCTCGTACCTTCTCTCTCTCTCTCGTTCTCTCAGCCCTGCTGCTGCAAACCGACTGCTGCTGAGCGACCGACGAACTCTCGCGAGATCCGCTGCCAGAGACGCTTGCTGAAGGAGGAGACGACAACCTGCGCGTCCGTTGGACGAAGCGTAACGGTCAACTTGGTTCAGGTAAGCAACAAACACAACATTTAGCTACAAGAGGGGAAAAAACAACAATAAAAAGTCTTCGAATATGGTTTCAATAAGGGAAATTTTAAAATGGACTAAAGGCTGTTATTTATATATAAATTAGGCTACACCATAGAAGAGTTTTAGAGTTTTTTAATTCAAATTTAGCCTCTGTAACGTTCTGTAATCGGTCTTTCTTGTAAATAATATTACTCACGAATGTGGAAAATAATCTATTTTTAAAGATTCACCAAAAACAAAATCTGTAAAACCTTGTAAGACAATCACATATTTATTAGACCTGGCGTCTTTGGTTGGCGTGAAGTGTTTTAAAACATTCGGTAAACATTTGCGGATACATTCATAAATAGGCTAACGTTATCTGGCTCTCATATAATGGTCTTCTTTTATAGGCTACAACTTTTTTTGTAATAGTCTCTGCAATGGTGGAGATTGATGTCGAAGATTAGAGTCCACTCCAGGCAGACAGTTTGTTTTCTTCCGGAAAAAAGCAGTTTGTTCAGCATAGGCTACTGAAGCATCAACTTCTCCATTGACTTTCATTCAAACAGAAGTAGGCTCTTACGTTTCGCATCTTTTAGCTCACATTGAAGTCTCCATCTGGTAGAGGGGCTCTATTTCTGCAGTCCATGAGATTCACAGCGTTAAGATTGCGCACAGAGCAAGAAACTTGTTTGTTTATCACTAGATGTATCATCTATCCTATTCATCGAATGCATTCGTTTAATAAGTTTTGTGTGTGAGAGTGATACAGACAGAGGGACTCAAAAGAATAGGCTATTACATAATAATAATCAGCATGTTGGTGTTTTATTGCTGTTAGCCATCATGCATTTTTTTGTAAATCTTGTTGCATTATTAGTAGGTCATATAATGCATCATTGATAATAAAAGAAAAATACATTTTAAGATTACAATCATAGGAAAATGACAGGACTTAAAAATAGTAATGATATGGATTCATAGGCACAGTATTTTTGATTCAGCACCACGGACAGCAACCGTGGGCTCTATGAATGAGTGAATGAGTTCTTCTCAGGTTGTTTCTCATTAATGCAAGGACGTCTTATGGGAAGTGTAGAACATGAGAAGAAATTTATCTTTCATTTACTTTAGACAAGGAATTACAGAAAAATCTAGTAAACACATGTGACGAGTTTTCATAAATGCAATATTTGCATTCTTGTCGGTGGCATACATTTTAAAATCGTTTATGCCATTTTGATTTTATAAATAGCATTGATTTCAAACATATTTTACAAGGTTATATGATGTTTTATTGTTTTCTTGTCCCATAAAATTATGGATTCTGCAAGTTTGGCAGATGAAAATGTTCAAATAGCCTATTAATATTCTTTAAAAAAAATGATTGACTTCATTTTTATTTTTCCATATATTACAATTTCTGGACAGTTATTTCGACCTTTTTTTTGTGTGGAAAGGCATGTTTTGTTCAGCTCAATTAGTTATTTATTTTGAAGGAATAGTTCACCCAAAAATTAAAATGATCCCATAATTTACTCCCCCTCAAGCCATTAGGAGTTTATGACTTTCTTCTTTCAGACGAACACTTACATAATCAGAGTTATATTCAAAAATGTCCTGGCTCTGTCCAGCTTTATAATGGGAGTGAATAGAGTCTGAGATTTTGAAGCCCAAAAAAGGTCATGTATCCATCATAAATGTAATCCATATTGCTCAAATTTGTTCTGAAGCGAAGCGCATTTTTCTAAGAAAAATATCCATATTTATAACTTTATAAACTATGATGGCTTACGACAACGACCATAAGCGAGTCTAGTTCGGGCAGAAGAGTGACCTCTGACCGGACACGACACATGACGTTGGATAGCGTAAGCTCAGGAGAGAGTAAAACGAGTCTTTTTTTTTTTATTTCTTCTAAAAACAAACTTCTAATTTGTGACCTTTGTTTCATTTTTCTCTGTCCTCTGTGCTTCCGCGCTCAGTCATGTGTCGGGTCAGAGGTCACTCTTCCAGTGGAACTAGACTTGCGTACAGCTGTTATCAGAAGCCAGTGATTATAGTTTATTTTTTGCCAATTATAAATATTTTTTGATTTTTTTCTTGCAAAAATGCAAAGCTTAACTTCAGAAGGCCTTTATTAACCCACTGGAGTCTTATGGATTACTTTTATGAAGAATAATGACCTTTTTTGGGGCTTCAAAAGCTAAGGTACCATTCACTCCTATTATAAATCTTGGAAAAGTCAGGATATTATTTAATATAACTCTGTGTTCGGCTGAAAGAAGAAAGTCATACACCTGGAATGGATTGAGGGTGAGTGAAATATGGGGTAATTTTCATTTTTGGATTAACAAACCCTTTAATGGCTCACAAATATTACAAATAAATATTGAAAAATATTAATAATAAATATACCTTTTAATTGATTGATATAGGCACACGTCTTAATTTAATTTTAATAAATGTATTTTTATTTTATTTTCCGAGTCATGAAAAAAAGTCACGTTTTTTTAATCCAAAATGAACACAAATATTACACGTGCATGTTTTAAAGTACATTTTTATCATCTCGAACATTCTTGTTTGTCATTGCTCCTGTAAAGCAAATGTTAAAAGAACATTGACGTTTAAGCGAGGCAGGTGTTCGCAGCTCGTTTCTCTATTGCATTACACACTCGCGCTGTGACTGCAGATGTCGCCCTACAGCAGCCTCAGGACAGGACGGCAATGGCACATTCGTTCTCTCGCGACGCATTTACGCATGATGTAACCCTAATGTTGAAGTTAAAACCCAGTCCAAAACCGTGCACAAAACAATCCTATAGACTGTTGCGAATCATTCCGTTGATCTAGTCTGACTCGTCACGACGGCGCAATGACCGGTCATCTCCTCTCATTATTCTAGAGCCCTCGGTACATGGCAAATACCCGCAGGACCTGTTGCCGGGGTAAATATGGCTGATAGGATGCTCGGTGGTTTGCTGTATATCTGTCTTCTTGGCGCGTGGCGGATCGCTTTTTGGGGCAAAATGGTGAATGTGACCTGAATGCGGATTGTTCTTGAGTAGAAAATCACGGCAAACGCACTTTTCACCAGGCATCGATTTCATTCAGCTGCTTTTCGCAGGGTTAGTCATCGCGTCAGCGGTCTGCCGCGGTGGCCCGTCTGCCGTTTCTCCATTAGTTGATGTCGCGCGGCGTATAAACACAAATCTTCCTCTGCCATTTTACTCCGCGCAACGACGCGACGCCGGCAGGCCGCTTTCGAGGGATTTCTTTCCACGGCTGGCCGGCTCGCTCCCGTGCCATTTAGTGCATTTGCGCCAGAACTTTCGGCTGAGATCTGCTCACGTAAAAGCGGAGGGCGCGCGCTTGTTGCATCGCCCAGCCGTACAGCAGCGCGTGCTGCGCGTCGTTTCGCACGGCGGAGCGCATTTCTGGACCCTTTTCGCTCGCATCCTCCTCGCTTTTTGTGTGCACGAGCGAGGCGTCTCGAAGATGACATTGGCTGGATAGATACATAGATTGAGAGAGAGCGAGCGAAAGAAAGAGAGAAAGAAAGAGGGAGTGTGTGCGAGAGGAGCGTCTTGCTGCAAAGGAGCGTCATTTATGCATGCATGCTTATTGAGTTTGGGGATTGTGCGTTGAAGGAGAATGCAGCAGCCCAGCAGTGACCGGGGCTGATCACGGTTCCTCAGCGGCTGGTGTTTCCCCGTCACCAAGTGCATGGGGAAAGCAGCACACGCAGATGGCATGGACACTTGCGCAAGCCCATTCGCACTCAGTCCCCCAGCACCTTCTGCCCCGAGAGCACTGCAGCAGCGCCGCCGGCCGCCCCTGAGCCACAGCAGACGGCATGAGGAGGCTTGATCCGGTGCATTTCTCCATGCTCGTCATCGGGGTCTCCTTCGCCTGCTACGCCCCGAGTTTGGATTCGCTGCAGGACCAGGCTTACCGATCGGCCGTGGTGATCGAAGGCGAGGTGAGCTCGCTGCCCGAGAACGTCTCCGTGGAGCCCTACAGTGTGAATGTCAAGGTGCTGGACGTGTGGCCGGTGAACGGCGGCGGGTTGGAGCGCGAGCAGCTGGTCACCGTCGGGGAATTCGGCTCCGAGGCTCCTTGCGTGGCGGTGGAGAAGCACCACAGATATATCTTTTTCATGGACCCCACAGAGGAGCCTTTAGTATTCAAAGCGTCATTTGCTCCTCTGGACAGCACCGAGAAGACCCTCAAGAAAGATGTGGAGAGCATATTGTGTGAAGACTGCGGTAAGTTTATTCACTGTGACTGGTGACAGATGCACGAGGCTCTTCATTGTTAACAGATAGAGCAGCACATTCACAATGATGCGTTTTGCTCTAGAGGAGAGGAGAACGCTTGTGTTTGGGCGTCTCTGCAGTATTGTTCTAATCACCGTTAAAAACATTTAGGTGTACACCACCAGTAACTCAAGCACACGAGAGAGAGAGAAAGAGGGGAGCGTTGACCACATCTGTGGCAAGCCGCTTATTCCTTTAAACCAATGAGAACTAATTAGTGACCAATACCTTTTTTTCAGTTTCACTCGTTCTTTAGATGCTAAACAGAAGGGATTTTGACCAGTGTCTATTCAATTAGAGGTTTGCGTTATCTTCATACAAGTAAATTGCATTGTTACCGGTAACCCATTTTCTAAGTATGTATTCCAATTTTCGCTATACCTAGTTGTATATTGATAAAAATGATTATGTGGTGAAGTAAATAGTGAAGAAAAGCGATTTGTACGTGAAAAAGTTTTTAAAAAGAGTCAATTCTGTATTAGTACTCAATTCATGCTTGTAGAAATTAAAGTG